CCCCAAAACCCCAAAACCCCAAAACCCCATATCAATAATTTTAATTATAATTGGTTATATATTTTTGGTCAATAAATTAAATCAAAACTAGAAAAGTTATTATATTGTATGGACGAGGAAGTATCAGCAATAGTAATTGATAACGGTTCTAGAAATCTCAGAATAGGGTATGCAGGTGATGAGATCCCTAGACAAATCCTACAAAACATTGTGCGACGCAGAAAAATGAGCAAGTTCATGACAAATTACTCTTAAGAGCAGAAAGATGTGTATTACTGTGATGAGAACAAGGAAAATAAAGCGCTTTTTACCAATAGCTATCCAATCGAGAGAGGGGTAATAAAGCACTGGGAAGACTAGGAACAGATCTGGTCCTACGCTGTAAGGTCTGTGCTGAAAACTTAATTTGAAGATCACCCGCTTCTAATGACTGAGATACCTGTCACATCTAAGCAATACAGAGAGAAAATAACTTAGATTGTGTTTGAATAATTTAATGTGCCTTGCTTTTACCTCTCTTAGTCCTCAGTACTTTCACTATATGCTTCTGGACGTACTTCAGGTTTAGTTGTAGACTCTGGTGAGACTCATACTACCTTTTCGCCTATACATGAAGGATACCAGTTTTACTATGCAACTCAAAAGGTAAATCTCGGGGGAAGAGATCTAACTCAATATATACTAAAGGAACTCAATTAGAAAGGATCCTATAGATTTAATATGGAATCTGATGAGGAAACTATTAATGAAATAAAAGAGAAAAATTGCTATGTAGTCCTGGATTATGAAGAATATGAAAGCTAGTAGAGGTAGGCGAATTTCAATTCAAAGCCTTATGAATTGCCTGATGGAAAGGTAATATAAGTTAATGGGTTTAAAGCTAAAGCTCCTGAAATACTATTCAATCCAGCAATAGCAAAGATAAATCTGAATGGTATGCATTAGTACTCTCTTGATACAATTCTAGCTTGTGAATAGGAGTATAGGAAGGATGTCTATCAAAACATCATTCTTAGTGGTGGAAACACATTATTTGAAGGCATAGGAGAAAGGATGTGCATTGAGATGAGGCAAATAGCATCAAGTACTCAAAAAGTAAAGATACTGGCGCCACCTGAGAGGAAGTACTCAGCTTGGTAGGGTGCTTCGATACTTTCAGCTTTATCTACTTTTCAAACAATGTGGATTAATAAGTAAGAGTATGATGAGTCAGGACCGGCAGTTATTCATCGTAAATGCTTTTGATATCATAGTTGGCTTATAAACAACTACTAGAGGGAATTTAATTTAATTAATTATTGAGATTACTAATATTAGTTTGCAAATTTCATTTAATGTTCTCATTATCTATATTAAGTATCTAGGGGTTTTGGGGTTTTGGGG